TATATATATATATAATATTACATATATTACTGGTGTGGACTTTATTGTGCTTGCACATTATAAATATGATCAAGTCATGGTTGCATGTATCTAAGCTACCGTTAATTTACAGTTTTATCATTTCTTTATCAGTTAGGACAAGGTCTACTAAAGAATTATCCTATGTTGTATGCACACTTATTGAATTAGGAAATTGTTCTTATATATATATATAATATTACATATATTACTGGTGTGGACTTTATTGTGCTTGCACATTATAAATATGATCAAGTCATGGTTGCATGTATCTAAGCTACCGTTAATTTACAGTTTTATCATTTCTTTATCAGTTAGGACAAGGTCTACTAAAGAATTATCCTATGTTGTATGCACACTTATTGAATTAGGAAATTGTTCTCTATAATGTTTAGAAAGTCCAAAGAAAGTTTTCCTACTGGCTGTATGAGACTTCCAGCATATGTCACTCCAACTGAAGTCCTCCATGATTATGCAGTTTTTTCCTATGCATTTTAGATTTGTAATAAGTCAGTCAACCTGTCCCCTGTTGTGATTTGGTGGTCTGAATCAGACACCATCTGATATCTCATCTTGTGCTTTATCTATTAGGACATTGATCCATAAGCATTCAAGATAATTTTCTTCCGAGTTATCAGTGACTTGGAAACAGGTAATGCAATTTTTGACATATTTAATTTTCATTGGCTGGTAACCATTAAAACATGTTGATTTGCAACTCAGATAGGCTTTTATACTAAACCCACAGCTTTTTTGCTAACCAGGTGCATGCAATATGTTTATATATTTATTTAAGCAATTATATAGCTTAACTGAGTTTATTTAGATTCTTAACATTTTGCATTTTCATTGTTAGAAAATGATGAATGATGCATTTCTTATTCACTGGATGATTAATTCTTAACTTATGATTTGTATCAAGCTTTATCCAGATGGAAACTAAATCCAATTAAAAATGCACTAAATTAAAATGGCTTTATTACTTAAATAAAACTACCTTAAATATTCTAGATACATAAGACAAAAACGCAGTTTATCAAAATGTACTATTCCTTTAAAACTCATTTGTTAAGTGAAGGAGGCATTAGCTACAGTTAGAGAAGTCTTCTCTTCTCACTTCTACTTCTTATCTTAGACTGAAAGAAGAAAACAAGCTTTCCTATTTATTCAACTTCCAGCTGGTTTCTTAACTTTGAATGAACTCAGCATTCAACTGAACTAGTTGAATAAACTGAAATGAACAGAATACGCAAAAGAGCCCACAGCTATCCAAAGCTGGTTACAGCTATCCAAAGCTTCTCCAGATTATGGTTCCAGGTGCTTAGCCAGTGACTTTTAAAACTGCTGAACTGGTAATTATTAAAATTTTGAGCTTGCACATCCCTTGCTGAGCCTACTCGTGCTTCCAGATTCTGTTGTCTTGCACAACAGAACTTAATTTGCCCTTTTGAAGACACCAAGCCTGTTTCTCAGATGTAAATCATATGACTTTGACTTAAATGTTTCATGAAGTTAATATATACATGGAAGTGTCTTCTCCAAGACATTATATTTTTCTCTCATCACTTTCTCTGTCTTCTTTGCTCTTTCTACTTGGTGTCTCAATGACCTATGCACATGTTAATTTTGGGTTGCATTTACACACTGATTAAAGTATAAGAAAAGATCCTTTGAGCTTTTCCAGCATGCGAGCTCCAGCATACAAGTACACATGTGAATGATATACTGTACATACAGAAAAGTATAACTTCATAACAGCAGGCATGAGGAGGCTAGTTGTGATTACTATTCTAGACTAGCCAAGACTACTGTTCCAGGCTCCCTGCAAGCGCCAGCTCCCTGTGCATACCAACTCCCACCTCTTCCTTTTCCCCTGCCCTGCAGTTTCTGTCTCAGACAGCAGCGTGAGGGTGAAATAGGAGGGGTGATGGCTTCCTGAAAGCTGGAGCTCTCAGGGAGCTTGCTTAAAAGCCAGCTCCCCGTGAGCACCAGCTCTTCCCTGCTTACCTCATCTCCCTGCTGCCTCTGATCAAAGGTAGCAGTGTTGGGGGATGGGGGGAGTGCTTGTGTGTAACCATGAAGATTAATCCTTGAGCCCAGGCTCATCAGTTAACTATTTATATGTTTACGCTATCACATTCCTAGTTTACATCAGCTCTTATTTTTGACTAATTCACTGAAGGTATTCTACACTTTAAGTTCTTTGCAAAAGGGTCTGCCATTTTCTGTTTGTAGAACTTCTAGCACAGTAAGGTCCCAACCTAGTTGGCCTCAAGGTGCTACTATAATATAAATGTTAATTGCTATTAAGTTCGATTCAAAATAAAATGTTGTGCTTCTGAGTTGTATTTCATATGACCATAGACTGCCACTGTTTCCTTTCCATGTTGAATTTGAAGGGAAGTACTTTTTAATCTGGAAATGTCCTATCCTTGATCAGATGAGCAGGAGGAAATAAGGTTTTTAAAATGCCATCAGATCTAACTTGTCGTCTCCATAAATATTGTTGCCTCATTTGGGGCTGGAAAAGGGTACTACTGCCCTACATTCAGCTAAGACACTAGTTGGCTGTGAAAATGCAGCACAAATACTTGTTTTTTACTACTCATTTGAAAGCCTTTTACTTTTTTGCAGGTTTGCAAGTATAGATAAAGTAAATGCCAAAGAACACTTTTGTCCATTTGCTCCAGAATCTTATTTCTCAGACTTGTGGATTCACAGGGAGTCTCTTGTTTGAAGTTGTATTTCTGGGAATGATGTGTGTTTGCTAGGGATCCTACTAGCCACGTTCTCAGAAACATAGTTGTATTCTTTGGATTTCAATGTAAATTCTCAATCAAGACCCTGCTCTCACAAACAATTAACTTTAAATATGCAAGTAGTTGATTGATTTCAGTGGAATTGCCCATGTTTAACATTAAACATGTACTTAAATGTTTTCAGGGATCTGGTCTTTGAGTATACTGTAAATCCAAACATGTAGTCTTATGCCATCAAAAGAGGGGAAAAATAATTGTTCTTGTGTGTCGGCATATGACCTTGGGCAGAGTCAATATAGATATTTTTGAAATGGAGGCATGGCATATGGCTATTAACCTTGATAATCTTTATTTGGTGTACTTGGATTTGATTCTTATCTAATACTATTTAATTCATCCACACTATAAAATAAAGATATACAAATGTCCTTTTGGGAGAAGTACTTTGAGAACTTATATGTTAAATATTTATATTTCCTTTGTAAATGTAGCATAGTTCCCTATCTGAGATAAGTGATATAGGTGTTTTGTAACTATATCTGAATTATTCATTCTCAACTTCTGTTTACTTTGTTTTTAACTGTTATCTAAGTTATGTACCTTTTACAATAGTAAGGATGTGAAAGTCATGATCTCTGAAATACACTTTCTGCTACCTTCCCTTTTTATTTTATTTTTTTTAGTCTTAGAGATCCCTCAGCATTTTCAGAATAGAAGGCTGCATTAGAAACCTTGAAATATCTTATTTGTGCTAGTTCTGTTTTAATAAAACTTTCCACTGTTACCTACATGAGTTTAGCTTCATTAAGAGCACTTGTGTAAATAATGCACTGGCAGGTGCTGCCACGTAATACCTGGGTAATATGACATGGTAAAAAATTCCAATGCCCTGTTTACCCTGTCGCATAGGTGACAGCACTGGCATTGGAAAATACATACACATTTTCCAAACAAAATTCCATTAAAAGATGATTAATGAAAAGCGTGCTATGTCTTGTACAAACTAAAGGGTACATCTACACTGCAATGCTATTCTGAAATAACTTAGTCCACGTTTACACAGCAGGCAGTTACTTTGGAATAATTTCAAAATACTATGAAGCTGGAGGATTTCTTACTTGGACTCCTGCAACCTCATTGTACAAGGAAAAACGGAAGTCAGAGGAAGAGTGCTTATTTTGAAATAAGCTACACATTGACACAGTTCAATTTGTGTAGCTTATTTTCAGTTAAGCCCTGCAGTGTAGATGCATCCAAAAAGTCTTTATTTCCAGATTTATGGCTCACAATGGTGGATGACATTTAATTTTAGAATATTGGCTTTTAAAGTCAGGAATAGGAAGCAATCCAAATTTAGTGAGGTGAAAAGTGGTATATGATTTGTGAGAAATAGTCTGAATTAGGGTACGTCTAGCCTACATGCCTCTGGCGACAGAGGCATGTAGATTAGGCTACAGGACATAGTAAAATGAAGCGGCGATTTAAATAATCGCCGCTTCATTTAAATTTACATGGCTGCCGCGCTGAGCCGACAAACAGCTGATCAGCTGTTTGTTGACTCAGCGTGCTAGTCTGGACGCTCCCGCGCCGACCTGAAAGCCCTTTATTGACCTCCCAATTATGCCTCGTAGGATGAGGTTTACCAGGGAGGTCGATAAAGGGCTTTCGTGTCGGCAGGGGAGCGGCCAGACCTGGTCGACAAATACCTGTGATGTCGACACCCGCACGTCCAGACTATCCAGCTAATCAGCTGTTTGTCGGCTCAACGTGGCAGCCATGTAAATTTAAATGAAGCGGCGATTATTTAAATCGTCGCTTCATTTTACTATGTCCGGTAGCCTAATCTACACGCCTCTGTCGCCAGAGGCATGTAGTCTAGATGTACCCTTAGGGATGTAATATTGTAGTCAATTAAATGGTAAGCAGAAGCTTATAGGTTAATGCTATAGACTACACGAATTTTCCCCCACCTCTCCCCCAGTACATTTTTTGTTAGGCTGACCAAATACTAACGATGGGTCCTGGACCTACCCCTGCTGTGGCTCTGCATTTAAAGTGTAGTAGGAGCCGGGCTGGCAGGCAGGCAGCTTGGCTCAGTTCTGGCTCGCGCTGGACCCAGGAGCTCTGACAGCCCTTATCCCAGACAGGGGCTGCCGCCACCCCACACTGCTATCTCTTTATCAGAGGCAGCAGCACAGGGCAACAGGCAGCCAGTCCGTGAGGGGAGCTGGTTTTTAACTGACTCCCCTCACAGACCAGCTCCTGCCTGGCACCCTGAGGCAGAGGCAGCAGGACAGAGTGGTAGTAGGCTATTCAAGAGTGAGGCAGGAGTGCTCTGGCTGCTAGCACCATCCTCGGGGACTATAGAATAGACAACTAACTGATAAGAATTAAAGAGGTTACTTGACTGTTTGTTTAACCGATATTTAACATCCCTAGTTCAAATATCTGAAACCTGATTGCCCTTAGAGAACAGGTACAATACTAATAGTAGAACTGTAAACTTTCCCACTATTTATGCTGCAACACCTTAAATCTGATTTTGAAAGGACCATTTCTATGTCTAAATTAATAGTTCAGTTTCCATTCCAATTTGGTCTTTGGTTTCTCTGTTGCCTGTCAGTTTTGGTGTCTCTTTTGTGATTTGGACTCTTACCTGATCCTGACTCATTTCAGATATACCCCTGAATAGCTATAAGATATTAATAACTTTGTCATCATTGGTCTGGTCTGGATTTGTTGTACAGTGATCTGAAAGTGAAAGGTTCTGTAGGCATAATGTTCAGCTTCCTGAAAATCGCGCTGTCATTTGGAGTACAGAGTTGTAATTGTTTTTTTTAAGAGTGTTGGTGGGGGAAGGAGGAAAAAGAGAGAACAGATCAGCTGTAAATTA